TGTACTGAAAGAATAACAAGGGGGCTTCTAATACAGACAGTCCCCTGGTTACAAGCAAGTTCCGTTCCTGAGAAAATGGAAATTCATCTTTAAAATTATATTGTTTTTATATGATTATATGTATTTATTTATTGTTGTAAGCCGCCCCGAGGCTTCGGCGAATGAGGTGGCATAGAAGTTTACTAAATAAATATAAATAAATAATAAAATAAATAAATCGAATTTGTGTAGAAGTTTGAGCATGTAGTCAGCCCTCCACATTTATGGGGATTAGGGGCACAGGACCTCTTTGAAAGTGGAAAAACCACAAATATCCCTAGGCCTTCCAGCAACCCAATCTCACCAGTGCCTCCTCTTTGCAGCAAGGAAATGCCAAAAAGATTTCCCTCTCCAGATGGGTGGGGCAGGAAGGCCAGCTTTGGAGGCCCCTCTCTCTCCCCTTTCACTTCCTCTGTCTCTATGGTGATGCTTATTATTTATTTCTAATTATTGATGTTCTGAGTAGAATGCTTCATGTCATGTTTAAATATATATCACAGAAAGGGTGCAACTCTAGTGACTAAATCTGGTGAATGTAGTTTTCTCCACCTGTAAATTCTACAGAGCAGGCTCATCTGAAGAAATTATCCCTCACCTAATATTCAGGACACAAAGATTTTCCAGAAATACCAATCAAATTGACACCACTGGAGTCAAAAAATGTTGGGTTTTGGAATACAGTGTTTTAAAGTTTACCAGTGCAACATTGCATTCATTTATTAAATTTATAATGCATTGCTTTTTCCTCCAAGAAACTGAAGGTGGCTTGTATGATCCCCCTCTTCTCCATTAAACTCATGACAACCCTGTGAGGTAGGTTGGAGTGAGGGTCAGTGACTCAGTTACCCAGTTAACATAGCCAAGTGGGGAGTAGAACCTATAACTCCTGTGTCCCAGTCTTACTCTATACCACACTGTTCTTCCACTATACCGTATTGCCATTCTCAAAGCAACATTTTCTGATTCCAGTGGTTTTAGATTTATTAATCCAATTTGATTAAAAGGTCTAAAAAAGTTTTGTCAAGTCAAAAAGGTTATAATCCATCAAACTCCAATTCTAGAAAGCTAGCCTTTGTTTTCCCTCATATCACTGAGATTTTGGGATGTAATTCATACACGGTGAAATACCAAATATATCTACAGATTTTCAACTGCATGATGATTTATTCTGTATGCATTAAAATGTGGTTTTCAAGAAAACTGTAAAGTTAACCTTCCAAAATGCAGTGAACACACTCTAGATAGTAATAAAGCTAAAAGAGATGACACACCAAAACACTGCTAATGACTTTAATTATTCATAAATATATGCATTTATTTCTTCATGTTTTAAAGAAGACTGCTGCTCTCTCAACTGCAGTAGAATAGAATATGAACAACTGTACAATAATAATTAAAATCTATGTAACAACCTTCCCTGTTGCCATTAGACTGTTCAGTTCCATCACTGTGAAGCCTTACTCACTGAGAACAGCTTACCTTTGAAAGGTCATCCCTTGATAGAAATGGTTCATAGAAAACCATTGCATTTGTCATCTGGTGAGACAACTACAAAGGAAAGTAAGGAAAATTATATTTCTGGCATTTTAAAATTAAGATGTAGAGCCTGATCACAGATGACAATTTGTTCAAAGCGTGCAGCAATGACTCCAGCAGCATTAGGTATTTGCTTCATCGGAAGGGAATCTGCTGCCCCCTTGAGGCTTAAAAAAAAACTTTTTTCTAAAGAAGTCATTCATGAGGGAAAGAATGGCAAATGGGGGAAAGGACTTCTTAACTGTTTTTCCCCTGGCTGTTTTCTTGTGGAAAATCAACCTCTGTCCCATTCTCCTTCCACTAGAGAAACAGCCAGTGAACGAGGGGGTGAGTCCCTACTGGATGTAAAAGGAGCCAGAGAGGGTGGCTTTCATAGGGAAAATTGTGCAAGGGTTCTTGCTATTGTTTGTATTGCTGAAAAAGATGAAAGGGCAACCAAGATGATCAAGCAAGTCTCCTACGGAATGAGGACAGGTTAGAATGTTTCATCATTAGCCTACGGAATTACGCATAGTGTAGAAAAAGTGGAGTAAGACTCCTTGGAGAAGACAATAATGCTAGGAAAAGTTGAAGGCAGAAGAGAAAGACTGACTATGAAACAGATCACATCCATAAATGAAGGCACAGCCTTCAGATTACAAGAGCTGAGCAGGGCTGTTAAGGATAAAAAAAACTGGAGGGCATGCCAGCTGGAGTTGGAGATGACTTGATGGCATGTAATAACAAAGTGGAAAGGGAGTTATTTTTCTCCCTCTTTCGGAGTATTGCATCCCAGGGTCATAGCATAAAGCTGATCAAGGCCAGATTCAGAACATACACAATTAAACACTCTGCAAAAAGCACACAGTTAAACGTAGAGTTAAACGTAGAATTCACTGTTTCCATAAGATGTAGTGATGGCTACCAAGTAGAACGGAATTAAAAGGGATTACACAAATTTGTAGTGCAGATGGCAATCAGTGGCTACTACTCATAGCAATCCTATGTTAGCTCCAGTATCACAGGCAACCAGCTTCAGTACACCAGTTTCTAAGGAACATGAGCAAGAGGGTGCTGTTGCACTCACATGGGTTGCCCATAAGCAGTTAGTTGTCCACTGTGTAAGCTGAATACTGGGCTAAACTGACCCCTGATCTGATCCAGGATGTTTCACCTTGTTTTCTTGAGGGAATAAAGAAGTCCCTACCCAACATCACTCTTCCCCTTTCAATAGCAGCCCTGGCCGCTGTTTCCTCTGAAGAAAGTCTCTAAAAAGAACAATGAAATTAAGTTTTATTTTTACTTACCTAAAAGCAATTCCAGAGGGACATAAATCTGAGTAAACATGTTTAAGATTTCATTGCAAATCTTTGCCACTGTTCTTTTGAATTTTGTAATCCTTTGAGTAAGAAATTAACCTGGTCTACTCCACAAGTACATGAAGCTGGAGTATTTGAAGTGAGAAGTATTTCATGCCATTGAAATTAATAGAATGTTGCCTACATAAGTATAAAATATCTAACATAAGCTATTGTAGAGTTGGAACAGATAAAGGCAGCAGAAACAAGCAGGCTACTGGAGCAACTCCTCTATAAGGAGAAGCACCAATATTCAGAATTACTCTGTTTTGGGCAGAAAAGCAGCATATTTTCCTGTCAATAAATGGAGGTGTTGTGTATGCCTCGATACCAGATGCAGAAGCGTTTGCTTCATTATTGTTACTGTTTAAAAGCTTCAGAACCTAAGCTCTGAAATAGAGTGGACTGGGTTGGATTCTTACTTCTTTAGGCATGTCCTCTAGGGTCTGAATATACTGTAGTTCAAGCTAAGATGAAAGTAACGGGCAGTAGCTGATTACTCTGGAAATTATTAATCCCTGCCTGTGCTGGAGTTTTCAACAACCCCCTTGCTCCCTTCATCTAGACTGTGGAGAAAGCAGAGAGGGAGAAATCTTCTCCCTCTCATAATACTAGGATGCAGGATCATCCAATGAAGCTGAGTAGCGGGAGACTGACAAAACAAAGTGTTTTTTCACACCATTCATAAATTATGGAATTCACCAGAGGATGTAGCAAACAGGTTTAAAGGGCAGTTAGGCAAATTCATAGGCACTGAAGATAAGGTATTGATTGTCTATTAGTCATGATGGCTATATATGACCTCCAGTATGGAGGAAAGTATGCCTGTCAACATGAGTTGCTGGGGAACATGAGTGAGAGTGTGCTCTTGGGCTCATTTCCTGCTTTTAGGCTTCCCAGGAACATCTGGCTGACTGCAGTGCAAAATGGGGAACTAGACCAAATAGTGTTTCTTCTGATCTATCAGGGTTCTTTTTTTCATAAAGGCCTGACAATATTACTACAGCCATCTAGCAAACTTAGTATCAGTCACCTTGTCTCAAGTTCTATGTATAAAGCAAAAGCCTGCTCACATTATTGATCTGAATCGTTTTACCCTGCTTTTTAGTAGAAAAGGCTCCCAGGGAAACCTACAAACATGCAAAAGAAGACAGATCCTGACTGTATGTTTACAATGTAAAAGACACAACACAAGGAGAAAGGGATGAGGAGGGAAAACTAAAGCAGGCAAACCAGGCACCAGTTCTCATTATGTAGCGTTCTTAAAATGACCAGCTGGAATGGAGGGCCTGATGGAACATTTCAGGAAGGGCCCGTGGCACTGGTCGCTCAACAGAATCAACAGTGGCCCCACATTCTCTCCCTCTGCTACAGCTTCCCTTCAAATTACTTGTTGACATTAATGTACTAGTTTAGCATTCATCCAACACTAACCCTCTGTCTCTCTTCCTTCTGATCACACTGATCTAGGAAAAGAGATAGTAAAATCTTCCACTTTACACATGTACACTGGGGTCAAGCATTAATACCCAATCTCACCGCATAAATAGCCACTAATGGTCCAAGCAGAGGCAGGGTTCAGATTTCATTCAGACTACTACCACAGCTGCCAAGAACATCTTCAAAGGTCACTTCTGTAATGGGGAAATGAACTGAGGGGCTTGTTCGGATGAGGCTGAGCATCAGGGTGGGGAACGTTTAAATTCATATAAGGAATCTATAGATTCAAGGCAGCACAAGTTGGGTACATTCTTTGAGGTACAGGCAAATGTGTATGTGCAGAAAACAGACCTGTCATTTCCACAATCAAAGATGCTAGGTAAGAAACTTGTTTTTTTTTTTTTTGTTTTTTTTTTGGCATTCTAAAGTTGAGATTCATCTCAAGGGCTAAATCAAGAAATTTTCAAGAGTTTTGGAACTTCATGCTGCAGTTTACACTAGTCAGAAGCTGCTTCCTCTTTGCTTGTGAATTTTGATAGTAGAGACCTTTTAGGAGGTTACAGAATGGGTTTCTATTTAATAATCACTTCATTTCCTAAATATTAGCTATCAAAATCACTTGGTATAAAAACAGTTTTAGCAATGCAATAATATGTTCATACATAAAAACTTTATTATTAAAGGCAAATATATTTGTTTTCAAGGAACCAAATCTAAAACTGAGTATTACCAGATTTATTACAATTATGGTATGTACTGTATAACACTGTTTTAACAAGAATTGCAACCTGCATAATTCATAACAAAACAGAAGCAGAGAATAACACAAGCACCACACAATGCCACAACATTATATGGCTATACTAAAAGGCATACTTTACTTGTGGAAATAGACAGCAACATGTTTTTGTTCATGATATTATACAAGTATTGTTCCCTGTCTAGAAGATGGTGACAGGTGTAGAGTTACTTTTTTGCAGTGCTCAGATTGGATAGTGTTTCAACCAACAGTAGCAGTTTCACATTTTGCAAGAGATGATCAGAGTATTATCAAAATGGAAGCTTTGGATGACAATTGACAAATTTCTTGCAATTTTTGCATCTTCTATTAGAAAAGATAGAAAGGATTTCCTACCAAAAACCAAAACAAAAACACTTATTAAACCATTCATGTACAGCTGATTGAAGAAAATAAATATTTTTAGATTTGAAAAAGTTGCATTTATAGCATTTCAAAGTCAGTTTCTTTGTTCATTTCTAGCCAAAAAGAATAAACATGAATATGCCACAAGGCAAATTGTGAAAGCCCAAAGCTGACAATGGACCATCTTTACAATGTTTACTCCATCATTGTAGTGCACACCAGAATAAAGTATTCCACATTAGATAGTACAAAAGCATAATCAATGGACTAAGACAAATTACAATATAATTGTGGCAACCAAAAGGACTTTTCTCTAACTGTATCCCAATTTAATTTACTTTTCAAAACAGTTGTTTGTACTTAGGCCTTTGATAATAAATGCTCTCTCTTGAAAACTACAGTGCTTTATGAAGTTGTTAGGCAGCTTGAGCATATCAGAGCATTCATTTTGCAATTACATAAACAGGAAAATAAAGCTGAAATGTTGTTTCAGCCAGTCAACATCTGTACCACTCCACACCCTTTTAGGCAGCACTTGATACTGCAAGTTTCTTCAAATGGTCCATGAAAACTTGCAGACTGACATCATCTGTAAGAATGGGTGCTCCAGATTCCTGGAAGAGAAGGAAACATTTAGAAAACACTGTATCATATACATTGATTAAGAAAAGCCAAAATCCCACATGATAACATGCATTATGAAAATGAAAGTTATTCAATGGCAAGTTTAACTGATGAAAAGTAACCATTATACTTCCACAGTTTCCTTTCCAAGACTGCAGGCAGCTATATTAGACCAAATATCCATTGTAGTGGCAGCACGGTTAATACGGTAGCCAGTAAAACGCACCATCATAACAATCAAGTTATGATGGGCACAACTATCACCTATTTGTCTCCAGATGTATGCAACTTATAGAGAAGTGGATACCAGCTTTACCTGAAACATGGGAAGGGCTGCATATCACATAAAGTCATTGGTTCATTTAGTTCAGCACAATCTACACTGACTAGAAAAGGTTCTCCAGGGATTCACACAGGAGTCTCTAAGTGCATTTGGCAATGCCAGGATTGGACCTTTAGAATGCAGTCTGAACTATGGCCTGGTTAACATCCATGTGTCCTCCATGAATTCATGTAATCCTGCTTTATGGAAGAGGTCATCAGAATATCCTGATGCAATGAATTCCACACAATGTGCCAGTTCACAAAAGCAAAATAACCTTCCAATAACCACACTGCAATAAGCCCATGGGTTATTGAAGGTTGTTTCCCTCTCCATCTGCCCAGGTTTGGATGGAACAACAAGTCAATATTTAGATGACATTTACAAAAATCCCTCCCCCCCCCACACACACACACATCCAGAATGTACCATGATTTAAATAAGCCACTGTGACTTACTTCGATCATACAAACTAGATCATCATTTAAGCTTTTGGTTGTCTCCATTATTTTAGTTACATTGACAAAGATGATAGCCTACTACTTTTAATACAGTATAACTGTTTGCTACAGAACATTTCCATATTTGCATATTTTAAGTAGCTGAAAGGCTCTGCACATATCAAAAATCTCATAAAAGGAAACCCCAATATTTCCAGACTATGCATGAAAAATATTTATCACCGAGGGTTATCTAGATAGTAAGCTATAAAAGTAGAGTTTATCATACAATTTTGTTTGGGTTAATCCTATTGAAGCTTACCTGTCCCCAGGCATACATATTATTATGTGTCTGAGAAGGATTTACTTTAGAAAGCAGAAAACGGGCCTTTAAACAAAACAAAACATAAAAGATTATTTAATAAGCAATTATTAAAATCACCATTTACATCACAACATGAAAAGGATGATCTTCATACAACCTGGCAAGTGCAGGCTCACATGAGGTACCTGTTAAGTAGCCTGCAGGCGAGGAACGCCAACTTTTATTTTTCAAAGCTTACATTTTATTAAGCTTGAAAAAAATGAAAATACTAAGTGAACAGCAGTCAACAACACTGCCTATGAACTTCAATTGATTATGCTACGCTAGCAGGACTGACTGCCAACAAACAGGAAACTAGTATTGCCTAAAATAATCCCAGAAATGAACCCAAACACTTGCTTCCAGGACAGGTGAGCAGAGTTCCCTTCTGCAAGCTCCACTGAGATGTTCTGTTCCAAAAACGAGCGTTTGGGCTTGTTTCCTGTTGCCCTGGGTGCACTGGTGCTCAGTTCCCATGGTATGTGGGCAGCGAATGTAAATACTGTCCAAATGTGGCTAAAATTTCTCTATGTCAGTGTTTCCGGTCAACATATGAAGATTATACCTTCTCCCCTGCAGAAAAACATGAATTACTGAATATGTACCACAATATATTTCTGAACTGAACCTTCTGTGCTGATCACACCACCTACCTCTATGAGACTGGTAGTATGTTCATGCAAGAAAATCCTTGAGTCCCAATTACAGTACACCACCATTGTAATTATCAAAGCAAACTAATGTTGCCAGCTCAAAGGGGTGGCATATCAATATCCAAAGTTGTACAATAAAATAAAATCATAAATGTTATAAACCAGAGAATCTTTCGCTGTTTTATTTTAATGACATGCGTTTACTCATTTAACATTATTTTCATGTTTTTATTGGATACTTTGTATTTTAAGGCAAATTGTAATCCATTTTATGAAGCTTTTTACTCTGACTGTAAATCTACTAAAGAAAAAAAAAGGCCACATAATTGTGTTACCATACGTGACATCTTTACCCATGTTCCTTTAATACCAAAGAACAAGGGATATATGTGAATATATCTTACTCATAAGTTCATATGTACTACTACTGTAATTTAACAGCTGAACAGCTTGCTAAGTTGCAGTGTTACTATTCAACATCCCAAGCAAGTGCATCCCAAGCAACATCTCAAGCAAGTGCAGCAGTCTGGGAAACATGACTGAGTGTACAGTACACTGGACTGGCAGCCTTTGCAGACAGGGCAATGGGAAGCACACCAGAAAAGAGTGAGCAGTTTGGATCCAAGAACATATTAAGGCAGCTTAAAATTATACCCACAGGGGTGCACATTTACTAGCATGCCAGATGTTTAGTCATAATCCATACCCCTTTCCATTACATGAAATAAGTGCTTATCCCTGCAGGGCCAGCTACTGCTGTAGCCTTCTGCATTTATCAACATGGCTACATAAACCGAAGCAACAGTAATTTACCTGGCTACCTCCATGCTCTGTATCAATGTACCGTGGCATTGGGAACCTGGAATGAAGAATTTCTTGTGCATCATCTGATGGAGCCTGGAGCAAGTGACGGAAGTTTTCATATTCTGGCATGTCCTGATAGCCTGATTTGCGCCATTGAGCTATGGTCTATATAGCAATAATTTAAAACACACCATTTCATTCATTCAAGCAACACACTTTACAGAATAGGCTTTTAGTGCAAAACTATGAGACATTTCAGTGAGTCAGGCACTCATTGAAACTTTCAGCAGTGATTTACCATCAGTTACACTACTGTAATTACATGTCATCAATTACAAAATTCCATTTTCTCCTGAATAGCACACAATATTTTCATACATTTCAAGCAATAGTTCTATTTGGTCTCAGTGTTCAATGCACCTCTTTTCCATTATGCATCATGCATAGTTCCAGTGTCTTTTGTGGAATTATGGAATAGTACATAGTCATAGAATTGTATATTTAGAACTATATGTGTTAACTCAAGTAAGTTAAAATGGTTCAAGAATGTGTTTACTGACACCAGCCATTTCCTCCACAACCATCATCAGGTAGCAATCTATTGGGCCCTCATTTTATAAGGTTCATGCATATAAGCACTTCCACAGAGTATCAATGTTCAGCACAGGTAGACAACCTGTGGCCCTAGTCCAAATTTCATGTAGTCTTCAACCTAATTCAAAAGCCTTCTGAAAGCATCAGCCCTCTGGTAAGAGAGGTCTGTCCCTTCCCCATTAGCCTGCAAGGCAGGGAGGAAGAGAAAGGAAGAGGGCTACAACCCTATCTATTTTTGGTTCTGTGTTGGCTTCAGCCTCACTTACTGTCACCATGCAGACACTGACAGAGACTGTAGGCCTGTAGCCCTTAACATAACAGAGGTTGCCCACTCATGATGTGCAGTGAAGGCCCCAACAGATTTTCAAGATAAACACCCTGACCACTATCTGAAAAGGTTTTGTAAGGAGTACTATGCATACAGTTGGTCTTCTGAGCCCCCATATTGCATAAGTAACTGTAGGAAGACAAACTTCTCATAAAACTGCATACAACTTAGTCTCTCGTATAGTGCTATTTGTAGGTATTTGGAGTTTGGCCATTATTCTCAATAGATATGTATAAAGACTACAATAGAGAAACAAAAGTGACTTGATCTTACCTCTCCATGATAAATAAGGATCTGGAAAAATGTATCCATGAGAAGAATGCGATCAGGCAAAATACTGCTGCTGTCCAAAAGAACAGGCTAACATAAAGGAAGAATAGCGTCTTAACTTCATATGCAGAATGAAAAGATCCAATTATTTTTTAAAGACTCGGATGTGCCTGGTACTATAGGAAATAATCTACCATTTAGAAAAGAATAGGAGTCAAATTTTCCTGTACTGCAGCTCAAATGTGACCCCTACAGACAAGCTTCAATAAACAGGCTAGCCATAGAGCTTATGGCATGCCAGGTTACTCCCAACCACAAAGCTGCAAAGGTGCATGGGATGGTCTGAACAATTGTGTGATTATCTCCACCATCTCCCATTCCAGTGCTGGCTGAGAACTGTTTGGCAGCTGCATGGTGAAGGCACATGGAACTGAAGCAGAATTCTACTTTGGAACAAAAAGGACAGATGACGGAAGCATTGCATACTGGTGTCTGAAAGCAACCCCTGAGGCTTCAGACAGAAGCACCCTCTTCCTCACCATGACCCACATAAATACACATTCCTTTCCAAATGATAAGGAAGACATCTGACAGGTGGAGGTGCTGAAAGTTACAGTTTTTGTTTTAGCCGCTAAGGTCAACCCAAAGTTGTAGATCCTTGCCTATAAGCCTGCATTCTCAGTTTGAATTGAGAATGCTGCTTCAAAACTTAAATTATATTCTAGAAAACAATTATGAAAAAAAGTGCACAAGTATTTTCCTCTTTTATTTGCCTTTCCCTTTTCATCTTTCTCAAATGGCTTCACTTTTGATATAGAAGTTGTATCTAATAGCTCTCTAAGAGGAAAGCCCGTACAGATGATCCTTCTTTTGCCTTATCCTGCTGCTAGCCCCCTGGTAAACCCAAAAACCCAAAAGAACTGGGAGTTCTTTTTGTGATGTTGTAATGTGGTGGGAGGATGAATTAAAACTGGGTGGAGGAATCTTGGTCCAGTGGGAGCTCTGCTGATGCAAAAAGCCACTGCCCTATTTGAAGGGCCAAGAGCCCAAATCTGACTAACTTCTGGAATCAACAATAAAAATGCTTGGGCTGGTATTTGTTTGAACTGAACACATGTGAGATTGTTTTACAGTCTGTGCTTTAGGGGTTTTGGTTACGTGTTTAACATATGCCACCAGCTGACATAAAGCCCTTGTGACAGAACAAGGTACAAGCAGAACAAGAATATGCAAAATCATTCACTGTCTTTCTTCATTGCCATACCTCTGGGGGTCCATTGAAAGAATAGGCGTAGAGGATTGGCTGAATCATTATAAGTGACTGAGTCAGATCTTGGCGCATGAAGTTATGGCGATAATAGGAACTTTCATCAGGACTGTTGTTGAACACTTGCAAGAAAGGGGATCTTCTTAAATGGAACATAAACTGCAAAACAAAGCAAGTCCAACACCTCTGAGGAAACAACTGTTTTTGACAAGTTAAACATCTATATACCTACTATTAAGCATCCAATTCAAATAAATATGTCAGTATTCACTAGCATATTTTCTGAAGGACACTTTTTCTTTTAAAAAGCTGTTTTCTGCTTTAAAATTGTGCTTTTTTCATTGGCATGAATTTGATATGATAATCCACATTCAGATTAAGCTATCCCAAGTATAGTTAATTATAAATCACTATGACTCAATATACAAAGCATCTTACAGTCATAAAGTTGATCCTTATACACTATGGCACCTTTGAACTTTTAGAGCTCAATAAAACAATCTTCTAAGACATTTTACAACCATTTTCAAGAGATGTATTTAATGAGAGATCTATTTTGCCATTCTAGTCTAATTCTTAAAATCTTATTTTGTAAGTTAACTTTTGCAGCTATTCCTCAGAGATATTTCTGTGCACAGCTGTGACCATTCCCCACCTCCTGCCCACCAAAATAAATAAATAAATCCCCAGTGGGCTTTTGGGCACAAACATTACGTTTTGTTCCCTTTCCCCCAAAATAGTCCTCCTAGCTTTGTTCACCAAAGGTCCTCTACACAATTTTAGCAATCCCACTTGTCCCCTCAGGGTCTCACAACACAGTCTACCCTACTGGTGGACAAATAGTTGATTCAGACTTCAGATATTGCTGGATTTCAACTAACAGCACTTTCTTGACTATCGGCCAAAATGGCAGAGCCATCTGAGAGTCCAAAGTATCTGGAAACCTACCTTCTGCCTACCCTGGTCTACTCCACTCAGCAAGGCCTTCTAATCTTTCTGTTGCATGGGGGAAGCAAGCACTGAAAAGATTGTTATGAAAAAACAGAGGGGAATTCTATTTCTACAAGAACAGCTTTCATATGTTTACATCTAGATCCAAAACTATATCTCAAAGATGTGGGTCACCATGCCAATATATATTTATACTAAAAACCCATTGTGGGTCCAACAACCCCTAGAACACTCTGTAGGAATTGGCCCAGGTTAATATAACACAACAATCCACTACAGCAATTTACCCATGATGGATTGCTGGGTCTTGTGAACCCAGTCATTGCAATATAGAGATGAAAATGCATAAAATAAACTATTAAACTGTAAGCACCCTTTTTTAAAATGCCAGACCTTGAAAAAAGACAAAGGCAACCTGCACTAGTTGTGAAGCAACACCAAGCATATTCTGGCTTCCTCTGCACTGGCACAGAACAAAAATGGCATCTATACTTTAAAAACACACAGCTTGAAACCTGAAAAGGATATCCATTAAAAGGATAAGCTGAGAAAGATCATGCAATTTGTTATGTCATTTAGCCTCATAAATCTGAGTATATTAGTTTGCATGTTTACAAACTTCTATCCCATTCTTCTTTCCATCAAGGAAACTCAAGTCATATTACAATAAAACAAGGATTAAAATTAAACTTACAGAATACTTAATATAAAATGTTCCCTATTTCAATTCCTTCAATTCAATTCACGCTTTATGTGGGGCTGCCCTTGAAGACACTCCAGATACTTCAGATGGTTCAAAATAGAGCTGCCAGGATGCTTTTGGGGACTGGGCGTTATTCTCATATAATCTCAGTCCTCTATCAGCTCCATTGGCTTCCCATCGAAGTTCGGGCTCAATTCAAGGTGCTAGTTATTACCTATAAAGCCCTAAACAGCTTGGGACCAGGATACCTAAAGGAACACCTTTTTCCCTATTTGCCCTCCGCCCCCTGAGATCAGCAACAGAAGCCCTCCTCTGGGAACCCTCTGTGAAAGATGTTAGGAGACAGAGTACCCAGAGGAGGGCCTTCTCTGTGGTGGCTCCCCAAATATGGAATGCGCTCCCCAGAGAGGTCCGCCTGGCACTGTCATTATATGCTTTTCAGTGCCAGGTTAAGACCTTTTTATTTAATCAATATTTTAATATGTTTTAATATTGAATTTTATTATTGTATTTTATTAACTTGCAGCCAGAGTAGGTTGTCAATTTATTTATGCTGTTAGCCGTCCAGAGACATTAGTAATTGGACGGCATACAAATTTTATAAATAAATAAAATACTACTCACCTGTGGGTAAAGGGAGAAGGTTTCTGAAAATCTGAAGGAGCTTGGATCATCTTTGTGATAATCTCCAAATTTCTGACACTGTTAAATAAAAAAAATCTACATTTTCAGTGTGATATTTCTGATACTATTGTGACATTTTCATAAATATATATTTGCTTGTTTAGGAGTACAGGGATTTGATCCAGATTAGATTCCCTGGGCCCATTTGCATTGGAAATAACATTTTCATTGGTCCTAGTCCACGGGAGATTTTGAGTGACAACTTAGAAAGAGAAAGCTAGTAGGATCACTTTCTATGAGAGGTCCTGGGAGAAATCTGCCTGTGAGTAGCAGTTCCCTCACTGAAAGTTTCATTCCAACCTACGGAGTGCCTATAAGAGCTTCTAGATATTAGCAAGACTATCTCAATTTCTACTTCAGACATGAACTCCTAACAGTGCTACCACAGAAAGCTCCAGCAAATCCACTGACTTTTTGAAGAGGCTTTCCCAGGGAACTGCTGAAATACTGTGATCATGAGAAAAGGGGCTCGGTGTACAAGGTCACTAAGACACTGCATACATTTAGGCATGACATTGTCTAGTTCTGTTATTCCTCCCGTTCCCCACCGATAAGGAAAGCATCAGAGAACCCAAGTACAATTGCAGGGGATATAACAACACTGAACCAACTGAAGCCTAGAAAAGAAACAGATTTAAAGCATTTCTAATGACTTACCAATCTGATAAGCTGTCTGTCCAGCCACCTAAGAACATCAGGTCCTTCCTCTGTCTCAGCCCTGTATACTGCTAGCCTGGCCATAAGAATGGCAGCTGCCTCCTGGTCGAAAGAAGCAGCAATGTTTTGAATCTGTGTCTGAGCATCTGCCCAACTGCAAAAGAAAAGCAATTAGTTTGCCACACAATTGGCCAGAAAGGAGCAGATACACAACAGTTTAACAATGGACAGTTCTAATCCATTGTTGCTTCCCTAAGGCTTGAAATGTCAAAACAAAACACCACAAAGTATACAGAAAATGCATTCTACAGCAATTATAAAAAATAGCTTAAATCCAATTTGAACATTATTCCAAAAGAGGCCTTACAGAATCATGATCAACTAATGCTTCCCCAAAGGAAGGAAAGTGAGTTACTGCATTCCACAGCACCCCACACACCCCACAGCTATTTTAAAATATCAGACATGTGAAATATGATTATGCATTTCACATAATACATTGCTTGGCTCAATATGCAAGCAATATTTCTCAAATTCAAGCATGGCAACATGCCACACAGGAATGTGGCTCCTGACACACAGGTGCACACACCAGTGGGGTCTCACACTATACCATTAAAGGAAAAATAAAAGGGCTGGGGGAAGGTTGAAAAAAATGACTGTTAGTACTGCAGACCACTAAAATGGTCAAATTTAACTTGGTTGCAAACAAGCTAAATTTAACCCTTGCAACATTCTATAGTGCTACAGAACAGTTTGCCATGATATTTCAATGGTAAAATGGTATTCAAATCGATTAATTAATTCAGAGTGCTGCATGAAGGGCCTACCCCTGCTTTTTGGAAGCTTTCCAGTCCCAGCAAAACCTAAAGGGCTGGATTCAGTAGTGGCATTGCACTAGCTCACACAAGAAAGGGCATCAGACTGCTTGCTCCATTCCTCTGCATTTTCTCTGGTTGTATTCTAGGGGGATTCCCAATCAGCAAAAAGAGCTTTTTAGGGGCATAATAGGCTTCAACAGTTAGGGGAAATTGGCAAAAACAAAGTGACCCACCCTAGGAAAGCAGGAGTGCTTACCACTAGTGCAATGACACCACTGGATAAAACCAAAAGTGTTTATTCTCAGTGCAATGCTGTTACTTAACACAAATATCACATAGATTTCTAGACTGACATATCAGACATAAAGGCTTACTTCCGGGCAATAGTGGTTACTCTAATACGTCTCTGTCCACTTGAATGCTGATACTGAGTCACAAACTGGATGGCACCCCGTCCACCCTGTGGAATGGGAGCATTGTGCTGTTTTGAAGAGAGAAAACAAACTGATTAAATGAAATAATACCACAAGAATATTAAATAGTATGAACACCATGCTAGGATCCCCATCAATACCACAATCTTTTCTAAAATTAGGATTTTTCTGCCAGAAACTACTTTAATAAATGTATCAATTTATTAAATTTACTATTTTATAAATATAATAATGTCTGTTACCATATTTACCAGCATAAAAGACAACATTTGAAACTGAAAATAGCAAAGCAAAAATCAGGGGTCATCTTATATGCCTGACATATGATAAACACTAGAAAAACAGTCCAAAATAATGACCTCTCTTATACACAAGTCACCTTATAGACCAGTATATTTGAAAAATGTAGTTCAGACAGTATATGGAAAATGTAGCACAGTTATTTCCCATTCTTTATCTATAGTTTAATCCAAACTTTCCCGGCCCAGAGTACTTTAATGGAAAAAATAATTCAAATTTAAAAAGCTGAAATCAAGCCAGGTACAAATCAGCGTCACACCCTACCCTAGAGTAGGTGGGACACAATAGTAAGATCTAACTTTTATACAGCAACTTAGAGAGCCAAAGTGCTTCACTAAATGATCTTCAACAGCCCTGTAATGTAAAAAAGTATTATCTTCCTCATTTGAGTGATGGGGGGGGGTGGCGCTTTGCTGGCTTATCGAAGGACACCCACTGACTATAAAGCACAGATGAGATAAACCAGGGTCTTCCTGGACTGCTGCATGGTGTCTTCAGGTATGGCATACTACATTACAACTCATAATTCAGCAGAGGAACACTATAATTTGATTTTTCCCCCTCAAATAATTCAGCATGACCACTTCATTCACCGAACCCGTTGAAGAAAACACATTTATAGACTCAAGCATCGCTTCCTTTAAATCTAATTTTAATATTGATTTATATGTACAGTTACTCTTGAGAAGTTCCCAGTCAGGCTAAAAAAAGTGAAGCAATCCTTCGGGGCATCCCTTTTTTGCAATGCGCTAAAAGTCAAAACATAGCATTGCATTCTTCATAAATTGTTATTAGATTTATTTAAGGATATAAATGCTTTGAAACAATGACAAATTAATGGTATAATGATACTGAAAATAGCACAATTACCCTATCTTTCTGTAAATTCAAGATGTGCCAGTTCTTCTCTCATGAACAATTTATTAATAATGTACAAATTAAAAAATACAACACTGGAAAGTGTGGCATGAAAATCACAGCTGAACACATTTCTAAGTCTTCTGATATCTGTCACAGTTGTATTCTCATAACAATGCTCATGAAACAAGCCAAGGCATTGTAACTGACCATTATCTATCTTCACATGCAATGGCAGCAAAATATAGAAGTTCTTAAAGTTGAGAAAACACCAGGTGGTTATATTTTCCCTGCTTAAAGCATGCTCTTACATTTTTTTTCTCTTACCTGATTAACCACCTCAAAGTACAACGCTAGAGTTGTTGTGGGGCTGAGTCCACAAATCTTCCACTGACATGTACCTCCTGTTCCTATCTCCTGTAATAAGATTGCAAATGATGCTTCAATAAAGAATATAGCTTACTACACACTAATACAGTTGTTGTGGACCATTAAATCCCTAAGGCAGTTATTTAGATAAAACAAAGTTATATATCTGTTATAGATTCTCCATTGCTCTCTCTACTGAAACAACACAATCGGCTACAACTACAGATGAGTAACTTCAAAACAGTAAAAACAGAAACTAGTGAAGATTTCGTCGTTAAAATCCTGTAAGACAAGAAGTCCTATAAAGATTCCATGAGATTAGCTGTGTTACAACTTGATCCAATATATGTTTATTCTGAAACCAGCCCCAAGTAAGAACACCTACAATTGCACCATGGATCTGCGACAGAAAAGGCAACAGATTTCTGAAGCACTTTAAAGACTAAAAACAACTAATATAGCTTGGATTAGTAAAGAGATCAGTTCATAAAATGCATGAAGGGGTTTCCTATGCTGCCAAGATTTACTAGCACACATCTCAAGAAAAGCAGAATGAATGGGGCAAGACTACACTGGTGTTGAAGCCAAGAGGCACCCTAAGAGTATGAATCAAAAGCCCAAACTCTAGGTGCTTATCCTAATTTTATCCTCTAGAGCTTCTTACTCTTCACAACTTTAGAATTTATATGCAACATATGTGTGCCTATATTACAGGGGCATAGAAACTCTGGCATACTCCCATCTTTCCTGCACAGCCGCTTGGGGATCCCGGAACAAGCCCTTTCGAGACCCCCACTGCTTTGTTAACTCTGATTTTAAGTAACAGAGAAGACTCCCTTGCTGGCGCACCTGAGCAGCAGAACCTCCACTATTATCGCCAATCTCAGATCAAAGACAGCAGCAAAAGAATAAGCAGCAGCAGCATGGGGATGCACCCATACCAAGGAACGCAGCCATGTTCCCATGCCCATAATCCCCACAGCTAACTCCAGCCTAAGACTGGAGAGAACAGCTGGAACAAGGAGCAGCCAATGCTGGGAGTCACTCATGCCAGGAAGAGTGACCATTCTCCCCAAACATTGACAAGACCACTTCAGTTTAACCTGCCCCCATCCCTTTCCCGTAACAGGGGAAAGAGGCAGAGCACACAAAAACAGGAGAGGCAGGAGTAGTCTGGCTCAGCTGCACTGTGTGAGGGAGGGGCTTCCCTAACTGGAAAAGCCCACATGCAGCAAAACCTTTTATCTTGCTCATCCTCCAGGGTGTAAGTCCTACCTGGCACTTGGGCCAGAAAGCAAATCATGTCAGGACAGCGTGACTGTACCCATAGATGCCAGAAGTATGGTCAAACACACTTCCTGGATAATATAATAGGGGTTTAGTGCAATTGCTATGATACAATGCACAGTAATGCTTAGTCACAGACTAACCAGTTAGAAAATAGCAGGAACTAGGGGTTGTTTATGCAAGACACAGAAGGACTAAACACAGCAGCAACCCCAAGGAGAGGTTGCACTGGGCACTGCACCACCATTAACTCCACCATTCCCGACCTGCTATGCCTTTAAAAACAACCAAGCCTCCAGAGGCTTCTCTAGACACCTGGTCACTGCTGCTGCTACATTACCACACTGTTGCTCCTGGCAACACAACAGCTTCAGATTCTGAACTGCATGTGTGTGAACTCCCATACATGCATGAATGCCACCTAGCATCAGGCAGTACTAGCACCCATCATTAAGAGGGGAAAAGAAAAAATAGGCTGAGTTGTCCAATCAGAGATAACCTCTGCAAGGGAACAGGCATTCTGGGTAAAGATGAGGCACCCAGGATCCAGCATGTTGCTTCAGCCTCTCTTCACAGAGGTGAGAGCAGCTGAAGCTCTAATTCCATTACTGATATGACATTATTTAATCTGTGTGTGTATGTATGCATACCCTAGGCAGTTTATCCTCTACGATTTGTCCATATGAATGAGGCGGGTGCCTTTCCATGCATGTTTGTGTAATCAAAGTTTCAGTATGTTTTACGAAGTGTTTCTGCTATGGATATACAAAGGCATGGATTTTGGGAATGCTTTCAGAACTGGTTCCTTTATTCCAGAGGCTGATGTTATGTGTGGCTGTGAGAATATTATATATTTTAACTATCATTGTTATTATGACTGTGTGCACCCATCACCTTAAGGTCACTCGATTCTCTGTGGAATGGAATATATTGTTGGAACAAGACAATGTGGGTGCAAAGAAGTACCTTCTCCGACTTCTCTTTCAGGTTTTGGGTCTTCGTTCTCCCTCCCTGTGATACTGGTTGCCCACTGTTGGGGATTCAAGGGCTGCTCTCCTACTCATAACCCCTTGGTTCCACCTCTGCTGACCTGCCCTCCACCCCATTAGTCAGACTGGTCACCAGCCTCCCAGCCGCAAGACAATAACAGTAAGCCAGCCTGCCAACATTTCCATAATTCATTGGTAAGACAGTCTGAAGTACAAAGATCACAAATTATTTTTAAAATTGTATATTTAAAAATGGCAACATATTGCTAATAAACTTTATACAAGATTTTAACAGGGTCAAATTATTCCAGTCATATGACCAATGGCATCATTCCCATAGCATTTCATGGGTGGAAAGTGGTGAAGGAACAGGTTTATGATCAAGCAGTAAAATCTAAGTAATCTGCAGGTTAATCAACTTACATTTTCTGATACACAAGGTCCTTTGGAATTGAGAGATACACATGGTCCAATAGCTCCAGATATCTTTATTTCTCTTGATGTCTAGACAGATTACAGGGCAAAACAAAAAAATATTATCTTTTGTATTTTCCTGCAGAATGTGGTACACTCTTATAGTTTATCAGTCAACACACCTGCTTTACTAGTAACAGAAACACTAAGAGTATCTTGGAAAAATGAAGACAAACAGGTATTCTATTCAGAATGAAGCAGAATCAGCTGGCTTTTAAAAAATGCAAAACAGATTTAGGATACTCCTGGGCAGTTGGTTGCATGCTTTTCTCCAACCTTTCCCCAGCCCCTAACCACAAGGTCCCTTAATATTGCTACATCTCAGAAGTTGTCCCTAGCATGGCCAACAACTGTATCTTTGTGCCATCACTAGGACCCATGCAGTGCAATTCTACACATGTTTAATCAGCACTAACCCCTCTTTATATCAGTGGGACTGGAAAATGTGTAGGGAAGTATATCCTTAAATAACGCACTAGATCTGCCATAAATCGCTAGTGTATTCCTTATTAAATGCATTTCTTGCAGTAAAAGCACTTCCTGCACAACCAGGTTTTCCTACTGTTTGTGATAGACTGTGCTGCGGGGGTGGGGGGAGACTGAAGGTGTTCCTTCTCTTTTACAAAGTTAACCTTATTATTTATTTATTTACAGAAATCATGCTTCACCTTTTAGGTGAATACTCACGGGCAGCATTCAAAATCAAAACTACATACCAGATTGATAGAAACAATCATCAGAATAAAATAATCTGGTTAAATATTAGCAGTGGGCCACTAGATCATTGATGAACCTAAGGATTTGAACAAATACCTCCCTACCAGCCATAAAGTTCTAGAGATGTGAACATATGAAGCTGCTATACAAAGTCATGAATTATACTGACACAGGCTATCAGCCCACTCAGCCCTGTATTGCTGCTTCTGCCTGGTACTGGTTTGAGAGGGTGAGAATCTTTCAAGTGGAATCTCAAGAGATCTGATCTGGAGCCTTCTGCATGCAAAACAGGCTGCCTGTCACTAAGCTACAACCTCTCCCCAATATTATTTTGCTTCCTGAAGTGCATTTCCATATGTCCTCTTTGGCCTTGTGGGGTTTAGCTGGTGTCAGCTGCAGACAGCGATTTATACATGTGCATATGCACGCACACATACAGTAAGGGGGAGAAGCTGTTAGGAACCAGAATGAGTTTAACCTCTGCAAATATCCCAGTGAACCTACACAAGATTGTTGAGGGGCTGTTCTGGGGTCACTGAAAGAGCGAAGTCTAAAGCCTCCTTTCCTCACTGCCCCAGCAATCCAGTCAGGAGCGCCGCTTCCCTGCTACCATCAGCAGCAAAAAAGCAGTGATCCAGACATATCTGGACAAGGAAAGCATTTGCCAACAGAGGGTCACAGGGGCCATACAACAGGTGGTGAGGGCCTCATGTTGGGCACAGCTTGTGCACCCTGGTACAGATGTTGTGCATCTTAGGCAGCAGATCTGGATCTCATGATCTGTTGCATTAGTGCTTCTCTAGCAGAATGGAATGATATAGAGCCTTGTCTCTGTTCCAGCAACAGAGAAAAATTCTGTTGAATATTCAATACGTGTTGTGAGTAGAATCTAAATATACTTATCAGCATACTGTTCCATGCTAGAGGGTGAGCAATGTCTGCAAAGGTACATAAAAAAGACCCAGCTACCTATGGTGTAAGTTAGTCAGCAAAGACGGAATTTATAGCAGTTTTGCCAAGCAATGAATGCAGGATCACAGTCACTCTAAATTCAAGAGCTTATTTTCACAGTAAAGTAAAATACTAAGATCCTCGGTCTAAAGGTTTAAACTGAAATGCTCACAACAGTCACTGCTAGGAATAATAATACTTTACAATCGTGCTGTTACCTCTGACCAGCAAGCTCAAATGTGAACCTCCAGATTTGAAGAACACCAGGTCTTTAAAAATATTTATAGTAAATTCCAAATCTCACCTTGATTTCTAAGGTTCCTCCAAATCCCATCTTGAATTGCCCCTGCACATCTTTAGTAAACACACGCTGAAAGGTTTGTTTGAACAAGGATGTATTGAAAGAGTCTCCCATTACCATGTAACCCCTACATGAAGACAAAAATGCAAGAGACTTGATATACCAAAAGCGTCAAAGAATATTTATGCTGCAATTCAGGACTGCTCATTAATTTGTCACACTTTGCCATGCTAACACAGGCTCTTGTGAAGTCCTCTCCCTGCTATTCCATCGTATTTCTTTATGATACTACAAATATGTACTCAGTATTTAAAAGCAGCCACAAATAATCAAATAGCATTGTTCCTCTGGTGACACTGCCATATTAGTTTGTATGAGGTGACTTTTCTTTAATACCACTCATTCATGAGCACACATAACCTAGTAATACAACAGGCCACCAGAACTGATGCAGAGTCCCACAAAACATGTATTTCACACCAGACCACAGTAAACATAAATGACTTGGATCTTGAGAGATGTCAACAAGAGGAGGTCAAAGGTGAGTTTCCTCCCCTCAATCCCCCTCCCAAAAAAGTTTTTCAAGGCTCAGTGGGTCCTTCTTAATAGGTTAAGAATGCAGTGCACAAAGCTGAAGAGATTACCAAAAACCCAGCAGAACTACACCCTCTTTGCAAATTCCTGGCTTGTGTGACTCAGCCCAAATATTCCCTTCATTACTATCTACCAACCTTGCCAACAAGGCACAGGTATGAAGGTGGATACATGAAGCATAGTATGTTGCTTTTGCAAGATACCCCTTTAGAGGGATGCTGAAGCTCATTGTAGTAGATTATGGGAGAGAGAAGCAAGAGGGGCAGGGCAGTTGGAACATGTGGGTTGTGTCACTGTAAACCAAGAAGACACCTCCTGAAGGAGGAAAGATGCAGGAGATCCTTCCTGGGAATTGTTAGTCTGTAAGTAAATGACAGAGGCACCAGCTAGCTAAGTGGACAGCTTGCAGATTTTGTCATTTTAATGTATCCTTATGCTATTTGTTGTAATTTTTAAAATAGATTTGTTTCACTAACTGGGTTTTTGTCATGCAATTTTGTGTTTCACAAGGGCCTAAGGGAGTTGATTACCCTCCAAATGACCTAACTGTTCCAAATACTATCCAGAGTAACATCTGAACCTAGAACAAGGTGGTAGAGAAGAACAAAATGCTTCTCAGGATCCAGGCCAATGAATGCAATTCAGAGAAAGTCATGTCTGTTGTATTAGTGTAGTAGTTAGTGAACAAATTTTACAAAATGTAGCCTGTAATCATGTACATACTTAACTGTTAAGAGAACAGTGACCTTTACTTCTGAATAAACACATACAGAATTGTTTGTTTGTTTCCATACTATCCCATATCTGAAGCTTTCTGAGTGGTTAAGCACCAACTAATCTTTTCAGTCTGTTCACCATTCTGTTCAATTGCTACAGTATCATGACATCATCAGAAATACCTCCAGGATTTTGAAATCTACCTTCTGCACACTACTGAGAGTTATAAGCAAGAAACATGTTTGTAAAACAGAAAATTGTTATCAAGGCATGTGGGTAATTTGAAACATTAGAAGCATGTAAAGTACAAACTAGATTTTATTCAGTGATTGAACTAAGAATGCTGTAATCTTACGTACATTTACTCAAGAGTTAGTGCCATTAAACTAAGCAGGAACTTACTTCTGAGTAAGGAAACGCAGAATCACACTTTAAGTGCCAGCTCTTACAGGGAGGTGTAGCATCATGGAATGCTATAATTAAGCATAATGTCAAGTAGCAATGTACACCAAAAGAATTTCTGGAATGACTCCGTGCACAGGTCTAAACTATCATTGTAACTGGGGAAGACATTCTTTTCCCCTTAAATCAAGACTAGTTAGCAGTTGCACAATTTAAGAAGCGATTTTTTTTGTTTTACTTGGTTTACTTGCTTGTGTCATCAGGGGCCATCTAATTTGGCGTGGTGTACCTATCAGTCTTGCACATTATGCCCCACATTATTATTATTGTTATTGTTGTTGTTGTTGTTGTTGTTGTTATTATTATTATTATTACATTTCTATGCCGCCCCTTGCCGAAACCTCGGGGCGGCTTACAACACAATAAAATACATTGAAATACAATAGAACATAATAAATTACCATTAAATACAAAAATACAAAAAATACATTGAGTTACAAATATAAAATTATCAGTATAAAATAAGTAAATAAATAATATAGGAGGAGAAAAGAGAAGGAAGAAGAAGTGGGATAGAGGAGGAGGGAAATAGAAAAACTTGTCTAGAGATAAGAGAATGAACTTCATTTCATGCTACTTTTTAGCCCCATCATTCCATGATAGTCCTTGAGTACAGCATCATTAATATGAATTCTGAAGGGGAAAACTTACTTTAAGACTGCTTCCTCAAGTATAAATGTTAGTCTGTAAGACTAATAGTATAAATGCCTACAGATTCAAAAGTAAACCAGCAGAATATTTAAAATGGGCATTCTTATCAGTTCCATGAGGAGGAAAATGTAATTTCTCACTTGCAAAGAATGGGGCAAATTTATGTAAGTTCACTGAACATACACTGTGGATTGTAGTCAACTTTGTGCTACCAGGTATTTGCTAACAGAACAGGACATCCTCCCTCTCTCCAGCCAGCTGCACTCCTCATGCATCCCACAAATCTGCTTTTGGGCAGATTTGGATGGGATGGTGGACTGTGGAAAAGAAGAGGGAATTGTCCCCTTCTGGTTCCACTAAAGGAACTGTTTCTGGCAGCAGCATATCATTACTGGATAGATACAGCCTAATATGGCGGATGCTTCCTTAACAGACTCATTGAAAGTCTTTTTTCCAAGCAGACAAAAACACAGTTTCTTCATACAACATTTCATATACCACCTTAAAAGGCAACACGTACCCCGTGTAGTTGGGACAGCACTTCATCTCCAGAAGTCCAGTCTGATCTAATGCACATGCATAGATGTCAATAACATGACCTGTTGTGGCAGCACGATTTGCCAAGGCTTCATAATGCTAGGAACACAAAATGTAAACACATTTTGACCAATTTTTATTATTTATTTATTATTCACACTTTTTGGGCAGCCACCCATAATACAAGTAGATCTAACCTATATTAAGGTTCCTCCAACTTACAGTCCCCCAGATGTTTTGGGCCACATTTCCTAGAATTTTTAACTGTTAGCCATGCTTGATAGGGTTTATGGGAATTGGCCCATAAACATCTGGAGGGTCCAGAACAGTATATGAGTTTGAAAAGGGGAAATGGAGGAATATAATATGCAGGGGTTCTATTTGCTTGTATCTTCCTCCTCTTAGCTCCATCATCTCTAGCACTTCTCTAAACTATTAATCTCAATCTGGAGTTAATGAAAATTCATCAATTTACTTTTAGGGAAGTAAGTAGGTTCTAAACATTTTTAAATGTTTAACTTTGGAAAAAAGGCAATCGTTGGAAAATGTCATTTTACCTATTTACCACAATTTGAATTATAGAATTAAAAAAAATATATCAAGTGTGCTTACCTTTGTACTCTTTTTAACATATTTGGCATTGTCTTTTTCAATGTCATGCCAAGATCTTATAGGCAACTTAAGTTCATCCCCTACAACCATTCCAGGGCCCTGGGTGGCCGGTCCACCAATAAACATCATTATACGGGCACCAGTATTAGGGAACGTACACTGTGGGATAATAAGCATTTGTGAGGTCAAGAAATAAAAGATGTCATTTGAAATCATATTCAGAATTCGTCTTCACAATGTAAATGGCATATAACATTAATGCTGAGACAATTCTAACCAAACGCATCTGCTATTCATGGTAATTTTTCTGCAACTGCAAAGAAACATAGGTGAATGGAAAAAGCTTCAGAAAAGCCATTTCCTTTTTCTTTTTGACAATTGGAGTTAGCAACTATCAGAGTGTTCACATTTTAAATCAAACCTACATCAGTTTAACTCTTTTAAGCAACCCAGGAAGGTCTGTATTCTATGCAAGCCAAAAAGTCTGTGAATTTTCAGACAAATATAACAGAGAAACTGTTACCTCTAACAATCCTACAGCTATGGAAAGAGCCACTCCAGAAGATCGTAAAGGTCTTTTGCCCTGAGGAACAGGCCAAGGATCCCGCTGCAATTCCCCCAAAAGATCAGTGAGATTCATGTCAATTTTCTGTACTGGCTGTAAGAATCTGGAGACAACAAAAAAGTAAGCTAAACAGAGTTCCTCAAATGATGAGAAGTTTCTCAAATGATATTATACCATTTCTTTGTTAAAACCATCCACACCCAATAAGCATCTACAGTTCATTTGGATGGACTAATTTGATTTTAGTGGCCTAAATTAGGGACTAAACATTTTAAAACCTTTTTCAAAGTTTGAGAAAATAGGCACAATATTCATTACAATTTTAATTTCTCAAATTTGGAATTATCACTCACTCAATAGCTTCTCAAATTAGCAGAGTTGTAAACTTGAGTACATTTACTCGAAATGCCAAGAAGAACACTGCCAATATCTATTCAAGCACGCATCCAACCATATCAAGATATTCATAAGTAGAACTTACTAAAAAAATTAATTCACTGTACTATGCACTGTAAGTTTAATAGCAGAAGTATTCTGTGGTGTTCAACCCCATGAAAAGCACTTTAAGGTTAAAAATGTACCTCTTAATAGTACACATAAATATTTTACTCATTTATATTTGTAGCCTGTCCAATCCCCTGAAAGTCTTGAGAGCTAAAAAAAAATGTAGGAATAACTGTATAGTTCATTCTCTATCAACAGTTGGCGCTGGTTCTTATGGCATCAGTATTAGTAAAAACTGAGATCTGGATTTGGTTCCACCACAACAGTAACAGCAGTGATGAGCCGGTGTGGTGGTGAAGAGCACGGGACTGGGACTCAGAGGATCCGGGTTCTAGTCCCCACTCGACCATGGAGCCAACTGGGTGACTTTGGGCCAGTCACAGACTCTCAGCCCAACCTACCTCACAGGGTTGTTGTTGTGGGGATAAGATGGAGGAGGAGAATGATGTAAGCTGCCTTGAGCCCTTTGTAGGAGAAAGGCAGAATATAAATCAAAATATAAATAAATATAAAAATATAAAATGACCAGTGGCAAATTGGCACAGGGAGAGAGACCAAAGTTTAAACATATTTCAAAGTTGAAAACATAACTTGCTATCCATTTTTACAGATACCTGTTAGATGGGGGTGGCTGCTGTACCTGAGGACCACGACCCACTTGTGCAACATTCATTTTTGTAAGTCCTAACATTTCCTGTAGAGAGTACATTAAACAAAATAAACATTGAATATCCTCACACGTTCAACAAATCAATAAGACATTTCCAAAAAGGTTAAGACAAGTCATACCTCTCATACATTTTAGAGTCCTTTAAAGCCTTCACTATGGTGCAAATTATCGGGTTCCAATACAAGGCAGTCACAAAATTAGAACTATTGTTTATTATTTACCTGGAGCTGTTTTGCAGACAGGTCTTTTGTCCCTCTGAAGACATAACTCTTGGAAATTCCTTCACAACCAAGTTCATGAACCTGTACCATTCTCCCAAAAGTAATAAGTCCCACCAAAGCAGTTGGAGGTAGGAGACTTAAGGACATCTGCATGGATTCTTTCAAAGCTTGCAAATCTTCATCTTCCATACAAGTGTCAACAACATAAAGAAATATCAAAGGCATCTGAGGTCCACGCTTTAAGTAAAAGAGAAAAACAATGCAGTATTAATGTTACTGGAAAAAATTAGAACACAGTCTTGACAGATTTACACCCCAGACCAAACTCAGTCAATGCCATTGTGGAAATACACATCCACACCTGGCTTCAGAGTGCCTGTATGCACTGAGTAGTGTCTCTCTATTAATTGATTGATTGATTGATTAAAGTTTTTGTATGCTGTCCCCTTGCTATATAGCCTCGGGACGGCTCACAGTGCTATCTCTAACACTCTCTAATGCCTTGAATCATTCAACAACCATGTCCTGTGTCATTCAGGGCTGTACTCAGATAGATACCTCAATAGATACTGGCTACCGTCCACTGCATAACTGAGAAGAAGGGAGGTAGGTTTATTGTTAAAAAGACAATCTCAGAAACCTTTCAACAAAACAATAAATAACAAGAAGAAGGCTATACTGTTATGCTGTCTAGCACTTCCTATGCTTATAACAGACGTGTTATAAGCCACCAGAGAGCCTTTTGTCTAAGGAGTGCAGGATATAGGCATAATAAATAAATAAATAAATAAATAAATAAATAAATAAATAAATAAAGTTGGGTACTATCGACACTGACATCTCCATTCTGGTTAAAATATTTCTGGGATGTCATTTTATGCTCGTTCCATTTCTAAGCTTCACAACAGCTCTATGCTGCACCATATCAGAAGATGTTATAAAAGCCTAAGCCTGACCTATTCTTTATACTAGTAAGTTGTCAGCACAACTTTCATATACTGGGTTAATACATATACTGACATACTGGTCATCATAGTTCAACTGCAGCTGTGGCTTTGCTAGCTCAGCAATTCCAACAATTATAAGCATGATACTTACCTGTACTACATATTCAATACTAGAAAACTGAGGTAAGAGTTCTGCAGGCTGGTTCATCTCAGATATGCCAGCGTATGTAGGAGGAAACTAGAAAAGAAAGTGATTAAACTATATGAAAATGGAAAACACACCCCAATTTGAAACATAATTATCTAAACTGAGCTTTATTCCCCACTGTAATACTTCTACCACTCATTTCATAATCCTAAAACACATTTACTTGGAAGACAGTCTATATACATTTTATCTTACCTGATTTCTCTGGTAACAAAAATTGCAAGCCCATAGTTTTGCTCGGTAATCCACCTGGCTACAAAAATAAAGTTAAAAATGTTTTAATAAATATGAATGCAAGTCAGACACATCAAGGATGCTTTACACTCAAACACAAAATACAGGAAATACAAAGCAGTCTCAACTTTTACTCAGTCTCCAATTAATTTTCAAAGTTCCCTACCATAATCTTTTGGAGGTTCTTTGTTTTATTTTAGTTGGTCCTTTTTTATTTTGTTTTTTGATGCTGATTTTTATTTAGTTACAGTAAAATTAATTTTTATAATGTGTTTTATTCTGGACACTGTACTCAAACACATTATTAATCTGAACATACCTCTTGGAAAAGCAGGTTATAAATATTTAAAGGAATAAAATCTGAGTTGTGCCTTGTCATATTCAATAACAAAAAGCAGAACAGTGAAGGTACAATCCTGTGCAAATTTAGACAGGAAAACAGCCTACAACTCTTAGCATGCCCCTGGCAGTTATGCATAGGATTGTGCCCTTAGCCTGCTTAGCTTTATTATTGCATGTTAGTTAATTGATGAGCAACTCAGATACTATTGCAAAAGCATAGTGTTATTAATGTGACTTTCTTTCTGTGTTGTTGTTAGTCGTGAAGTTCTGTCCGACCCATCATGACCCCATGGACAACATTCCTCCAGGCCTTCCTGTCCTCCACCATCCTCCAGAGTCCACCCAAGCTCACACCAACTGCTTCACTGACTCCATCTAGCCACCTCATCCTCTGCCGTCCCCTTCTTCTTTTACTTTCAATTGTTCCCAGCATTAGGCTCTTCTCCAGGGAGACCTTCCTTCTCATTAGGTGGACAAAGTATTTGAGTTTCATCTTCAGTATTTGGCCTTCTAAAGAGCAGTCAGGGTTGATCTCCTCTAGGACTGACCGGTTTGATTGCCCTGCAGTCCAAGGGACTTGCAGGAGTCTTCTCCAGCATCACAATTCAAAGGCCTCGATTCTTCAGTGCTCAGCCTTCCTTATGGTCCAACTTTCACAGCCATACATTGCAACTAGGAAAACCACAGCCTTGAGTATACACACTTTTGTTGGCAGGGTGATGCCTCTGCTTTTTAGTATGCTGTCTAGATTTGCCATAGCTTTTCTCCCCAGGAGCAAGTGTCTTTTAACTTCTTGGCTGTAGTCTCCATCTGTGATGATCTTGGAGCCCAGGAAAATAAAATCTGTCACTACCTCCATTTCTTCCCCATCTATTTGCCAGGAAGTGAGAGGACTGGATGCCATGATCTTAGTTTTCTTAATATTGAGTTTCAAGCTAGTTTTTGCATTCTTCTCCTTCACCCGCATCAAGAGGCTCTTTAGTTCCTCTTCAATTTCTGCCATTAGAGTGGTATCATATACATATCTGAGGTTGTTGATATTTCTCCCAGAAATCTTAATTCCAATTTGTGATTCATCTAGCCCCGCCTTTCTCATGATGCACTCTTCATATAAGTTAAATAGGCAGGACGACAGTATACGGCCTTGCCGAACTCCTTTCTCAATTTTGAACCAATCAGTGGTTCCGTGTCCAGTTCTCACTCTTGCTTCTTGACCCGCATATAGGTTTCTCAAGAGACAAATAAGATGGTCTGGTACTCCCATCTCTTTAAGAACTTTCCACAATTTGTTGTGATCCAAACAATCAAAGGCTTTAGTATAGCCAATGAAGCATGTTTTTCTGGAACTCCCTAGCTTTCTCCATGATTCAGCATATGTTGGCAATTTGATCTCTAGTTCCTCTCCCTCTTCAAAATCCTGCCTGTACTTCTGGTAGTTCTCGGTCCACATACTGGAGCCTAGCTTGTAGGATTTTGAGTATACCTTTTGCCAGCATGTGAAATGAGTGCAATGGTGCGGTAGTTTGAACATTCTTTGGCATTGCCCTTCTTTGAGATTAGAATGTAAACTGACCTTTTCCAATCCTGTGGCCACTGTTGAGTTTTCCAAGTTTGCTGGCATACTGAGTGTAGCACTTTTACTGCATTCTCTTTTAAGATTTTGAAGAGCTCAGCTGGAATACTGTCACCTCCACTAGCTTTGTTGTTGCTCAGACTTCCTAAGGCCATTTGACTTCACATTCCACGATGTCTGGCTCAAGGTCAGTGACCACCCCATCGTGGTTATCAGGGACGTTAAGCTCTTTCTTGCATAGTTCTTCTGTGTAATCTTGCCACCTCTTCTTAATCTCTTCTGCCTCTGTTAGGTCCCTGCCATTTTGGTCCTTTATCATGCCCATCTTTGCATGAAATTTTCCCTTTATATCTCCAATTGTCTTGAAGAGATCTCTGGTCCTCCCTACTCTATTGTTTTCTTCTATTTTTTGCACTGTTCATTTAAGAAGGCATTCTTATCTCTTCTAGCTATTCTCTGGAATTCTGCATTCAATTGGGTGTATCTTTCTCTTTCTCCCTTGCCATTCGCTTCCCTTCTTTCCTCAGCTATTTGTAAAGGTTCCTCAGACAGCCATTTTGCTTTCTTGAATTTCTTTTTCTTTGGCATGGTTTTAGTTGCTACCTCTTGTACAATGTTGTGAACCTCCATCCATAGTTCTTCAGGCACTTGTCTATCAGATCTAATTCCTTAAATATATTTGTCACCTCTACTGTATATTCATCAGGGATATGATTTAGGTCATACCTGAGTGGCCTAGTGCTTTTCCCTACTTTCTGTACTTTCTGTAGTGCTTTTCCCTTTCTTTCTGTAGTTCAATGTATTTTAATATGTTACCAAAGTAGCAGACATGTGGATTTCAGAGGGATCCTTTAATGTAAGATACTGATTACTGCATATTAAAAAAAATCTGCAATGGACACTGCTAGTGCACATATGAAGCTCCCTTTAAACTCACCCAATCCTAAACACTCTGGCACCAGTCTAGCCATTGTTATATCTACAAGTCCAGGACATTAAATGCATACACTATATACTTCCACCCAAAAGCATTCACTTCAGTAGAGCAGAAAGCTGTACAAAAAGCTTTTTGTGCACATAAGGCTTTGAATCAGAAGCATTATGCAGAAATGGGGCAAAATCCTATGGGCTGCACCCCAACACTCATAAGCCCCCAAACTTGGGTGCTCACAAACATCCTATTCAGGATGGGAGGACCAGTGGAAGTAATTTTCACCCACCCATCTTCCCACCCTGCACTTCTCACTAGATGGGCATTTTTGCCTATCTAACCAGTGCAGGAAAGAAGACAGCTGGAATCCCCTCAGCACATATCCTAGTCTCTCTAGTCCCCTCCTCTCCTGCCTACCCAAATGCCCTTTTATGCCCTTTCTTGACTTCAAGTCAAGCTGGTGCTTTCCATGCTGGCTGTAAGAGAGAGGGGACTCAGAGCTCCTTTGAGGTCAGAGTGCTGTCTCCAAGCTTGGATCAGAAATCCAAAATATCCTATGGCCCCTCAAGTACTGATCCCTCCAGAGTACAACTTTACATTCTAATCATAGAAAGACTACTTTGAAATAAGACCTGTAAAAATCAATGGGTCTTTTTTTTTAAAGAATTAGGTCTGAAACCAGGGTATTAAGACCACTGAGAAAGATATTAAACAGTGAAAACTGATTTTAACAGTATATTTATTTTTCACCACTTTTAAAATGGCAGTCATGTATACCTTCTTGAAGCAAGAAATATTCTAGAGAAGGGACACATCTACAGATTCTATCATTCAAAAAATATGAGTTTACTTTCAAAGTGCATGGGCTGCATGAATTATGATGTTATAATTTTAATAATCCAGGAAATCAAATGCTTGTGACAAATCAGAAAACAAATCTATTTACTAAACTTTACCATAAATCCGACAGATAAAATTACAAGAAGTAATATTTTCTTGTCAATTTTAGCAAAAAAAACCTTAATAATGAAGTAGTAAAATATAAGTGAGATGTAAAAGTTGTTTACTGGGATTACCATAATGGATTTAGAACAGCACGACATGTTGTTCTACTGCACAGGACTGGCTCATACTGAATTGGAGGCAAGTCAGGCCGCTCTTTCAGTGGTGTAAACAAAGCAGCCACTGGAACCACCATTCTTGTGGCTTCAAGACGACTGGAAGGCCAGACGTTCCAGCTGAATCTAACGCCATCCCTGTCCTCATTCTGCTGAATGAACTCCAGGAAGGTTGCCATAATTACTCTCTTATTTCTGCAACAAAAATGTACATTAAATTGATGCATACAAACTTTAGAGCAAACTTCCCAAACTTTGGTTGGGCTGCTGCCCCCTTTCCTCTTGGACAACAACCCCAATGTCCCAGGCCTCTTTCTTTGTATTAGGTCTATTGTTCTACTGCAAATATAAAACAACCACAGCCCACCTGGACTGCCCCAGGGGGCAGTACCACCCACTTTGAAAATCACTACTTTAGACAATAAATTAGAAACCCTTGCCTATCTTCAAGGCCATTTAGATATCTGTGTAACCAGCCATCTGGAAGCATCAAGTACAATTTCCATTTGTCATTCAATTACATTGGGGGTGGGGAATAGTAACAGGGAGCTTCTGTCCTCTTTGGAAAGTGGAGGTGCTAATTTGCAATGCAAATACACAATGGGGAGGGCGGGAGAGAGAGAACACCTCTGCTCAAGGGAATGTAACACTTCAAAACATTACACCTATATAAGCTAAAATGGTAACTCTGAAACATATTAGCTTAGTTTCAAGCAATGTTATGTTGACAATATTATACTCATTACTATTTCATTTCAGTACAGCTACTACAAGCAAAGTTGTCATTCACCTGTAAGTTCTTCAACAAACTTGTTCAAACTCTTTTAATATACATGATACACAATAGGCACATATTTTATGTGCTTACTATTGATGCTACACACATTGGTTTAGTACACAAAACTTGGTGACCGTTTATCAGAAATGCCAGTAATGAACAGGGCAGAAACCATGTTCTATCTTGTTCAGTTGGGCAAAATTAATTGAAAAAAAGGATAATATAGTGCTGTCAGTGACATTAGTAAAACTTGGTACTGGTGGTTTTCTGTATGATTAACTGTACTGACTACTGAGACAACAATTCAGAACAGAAATGAGACAAAGGCAAAACAAATCCTGAATATAGCTGAGTGCTACAAAATTTGACAAAACTGTTCAATCGGCTTTACAGTGTTATGTATTTATTCTTCCATTTATATGCCACTTATTACCGAAGTCTCAAAGTTGTTTACAATCTGTCACTATCCAGTAACCAGTCCAAAAATCCCTCACATCACCTAGATTATATTTGTTATTTTAATACTACAACCTTTCAACACTTTGTAACACCTGGAATAGTATTTAGAGCCATAACTTACTAGCTGCCATTATGAAGAGCCATAAATTGTGAGACCACCAAGCATCTTTCTTCACTAAAGAAGGATGAATATACCATTATAGCTAAATTATCACTATGGCACTGTGTATGTTAAACCAACAGTTTCCTTTGTTAGAAATTATTTTTGGCATTCAGTCTTGTAATTCTGCTGCACATTTGCAAGTTTGTAATTACATTGTAAACTGCTGTGAAGCTCCTTTGGTTCAAGCAGCAAAACAAACTAAAACACAACATGAATAACATATTCCAAAATGGCAATACGCAGGATCTGACGTAGATGGGAAGACTTGTATCATTCATTCAGAAGCTTTCAACTTTTGCTTTCGACCAACCATGATTGATCATGGTGATTTTCACAATGTTATACTGGGACTCGGGAAATCTGGGTTCTAGTCACCACTCCGATATGAAGCTCCCTAAGTGATTTCTGGCAATCACTGATCTCAACCTTACCTACCTCACAGGATTGTTGTGAGGATAAAATGAAAAGGACCCCTACCATATAAGCTGCCTTGGACATCTTGCAAGAGGAAAAAGACAGGGTATGAAGGTAATAAATATATAATGCCCAATGAAAAAAAAAAGTTATTAACTTTAATTGATTTGGATGCAATTCTGTACAAATTTAGACTTCAAAAAACAGCCCACAGTTCCCAGCATGCCCCAGGTAGATGCTGGCTGGGGCATGCTGGGAGTTGTAGGCTTTTTCCCTATCTAAAAGTACAAAGGATTACACCTTTAATGAACAAATAAATTTCAAACTGTGGTGAATACTCCTAGTGTGTTTCTCTGAACTTCAATTAACACTAACTGCACTTTATCTTTAACTGCACTAACTGCACTTTAACTGCACTAACTGCCATTACATGAAATGTTAGATGAAAATGGAAGCAAAAGCTTCTGTTCTCCTTGTGGCTATGCTGGAGAAGAGAGGACAACTTCTGAATCTAGAAAATAGTGGACAAAAGAATAGTTTAGCACCTTCTTTAATAAACAATAGTTGTGTCTGCTCATCAATCTTCACTCAATAAATATGATATTGGATTTATAAATATATGTAGTTTCATGTATTGCATAGTTGGACTTTTGTCACCAAAATATTCATAATCAAGTTTATGCTGAAGAAATTTTATCAGTGCCTAGCACAGCTATTGCTGGGAGTGAGAAAGATGGCTTCTCTGGGTGCAGATTCTCAGGGTCTGCTGGCTGGTCTCCAGAACAGTCAGGAGGAGGAGGACGAGAAGTGCAGGAGGGGCCTGGGAATGCAGGCCATCCCAAGACACTGAGATGGGAAAGTGGAGATGCTTATCCAAAAGGCAGATTCCACAGGTGGGCAGGCTGTCTCTGGGAATAACCAAGATATATACTTGGCAGGAGGAGACTTGGAGCAGGGGAAGCTCTCAGACACAGCCAGGTCAGGCATGGCTGTTGACCCCATCATGCATCATCTATAGAGGAAGGTGGCCCAATTAGAGGATTGAAATCCAAAGAGGAGGCATGCCCATTTTCAGAAGGCCCTTCCATTTTCAGAAGGAGATGAGGACCAGGCATGTTCAAAAGGAGAGTTCCTGGAAATGAATACTAGATTGGGTTCAACAAACCATTCTCTGTATACTCAGAGATTCATTCTGGAGTTTGTGCATCTGGAAAACACTTTGGTCAATAAAGAACATTTTACATGAAAGGTCTGTGGCTTTGAATGTGCAAAGGAAAGAATGCTAGATCACAACAGCTATAGGTTTGCAGTTGAATTCTGCTTTTCCAAAGACACATGCAGCTATACATTCCCACTGAAAACTTAGTTCTATACATATTTGGTTGGATGTCCCAGGAAACTCCATATACCCAAGTCTGTGTTAAGCACAAGCCATTAACTATCAGGGAGATATGGGCTTTCTTTGCTTTAAACGCTTCCACTTTTTAAAGTAATTGTTCATCGTTTTATTGCCTGCTTACATGTTCAAGAAAGGGCAAGGTACACACAATTTATTAATTAGAATAGAAATCTTCCATTTTTTCAGTCTAGGACTCACCTTTAACCCCAATCTCTATGATACCCAGGTTTATATTTATTTCACTTTATTTATATATTCATTTACTAGATTTGTTTGAAAGCCATTCATTAGCATCATGCTCTCTGAGATTTATTGATCTTATATAAAACCCTTCCTTTTCCCTATTATGTTCTTCTCTACCTAACTCAAAAAATAAGATGACAGTGTCACCAGCGTACCTTTTCTTTCTTTTGAGAGTCCCAATTTCACAGTTAAATTCCATGAATTGGTATTTGAATTCTGCATCATAGATTGCATGTTACCAATGTGCCAAACAGATGCAGTTTTGTTCATTAAACCTGAATTTGCCAAATAATTTACTCCTATCTTCTTCCTATTTTTCGATCTGACTGGGCTGAATTGGAGCCTAACATTCCTTAAGGTGATGCATCTTGATAGGCCATGGTGTTTATACCTGATGAATTATGAACTATTTATAGAATTATAAAATATCAGAGTAGGAAGGATCCAGAAGAAGGTTCAACTCTCTGCTCACTGCAGGACCCCAAGTTCAACCAGCTATCTGTCCAGTTGCATCTTGAATGCCTCTAGTGCAGGAGAGCCCACTATTCCCCTTACCACCATACCACATACACCAAACGGCTTGGGACCAGGATACCTAAAGGAACACCTTTTTCCCTACATACCCTCCCGCCCCCTAAGATTGGCAGCAGAGGTCCTCCTCGGGAACCCTTTGAAAGAGGTCAGGAGACAGAGTACTCCGAGGAGGGCCTTCTCTGTGGTGGCACCCCGACTATGGAATGCGCTCCCTAGAAAGGTCCGCCTGGCGCCGTCATTATATGTTTTTCAGCGCCAGGTCAAGGCCTTTTTATTTGGCCAATATTTTAACACATAGTAATTTTAATTGTGAAATTATTTATTTAATTTATTCTAATGATGCTCAGTGTGGAATAGTTAATTTATCTTATTTTATTGAAGTTCCAAAATAATGTTGTAAGCCATCCAGAGACAACAGTAATGGACGGCATACATTTTTTTAAATAAATAAATACCCCTAGGTCATTGGTTCCACTGTCATACTGCTCCAAGAGTCAGGAAATTTTCCCTGATCTCTATCCAGAATCTGGCTTTCTGTAACTTGAGCCCATTATTCTGTGTTCTACACTCTGGGCTGATTGAGAAGAGAACCTGAACTTCCTCTCTGTGATAGCCTTTCAAGTACTTGTAGAGTGCTATCATATCTCCCCTCAGTCTCCTCAAGGCTAAACATGCCCAGTTCTTTCTATTCCTCCTCACAGGGCTTTGTTTTCAGCCCCCAGATCATCCTTGTTGCCCTCCTCTGAAACCTTTCCAGTTTCTCTGCATCTTCCTTGAACTGTGGTGCCCAGAACTGGAAACAGTACGCCAGATGAGACCTAACCAGTGCTTAGTAAAGGAGAACTAGTATTTCACGGGATTTGGAAGTGATACTTCCATTAATAAAGCCTAAAATAGCATTTGTCCTTTCTGAAGCCATATCACATTGTTGATTTATATTCAGCTTGTGATCCACAACAATCCCAAGATCCATCTCACTTGCAGTGTTGTTGAAACAAGTATTCCCCATCTTGTAACACTGCATTTGATTTCTCCTCCCTAGGTGCAGAACTTGGCATTTGTCCCTAAAGAATTTCATTCTGTTGTTTTCAGCTCAGCACTCCAACCTATCAAGATCACCTTGAATCTTATTTCTGTCTTCCAATGTATTAGCTATCCCACCCCAGTTTTGTATCATCTGCAAATCTGATAATTGTTCCCTGAACTGCCTCATCCTAAGCATTAATAAAAATGTTGAAGAGCTCTGGGCCCAGGACCAAACCCTGTGGTACCCCACTTGCTACCTCTCCCCAGCTCAAGAAACTGTCAAGGTATTTTATTGATAAATAAGCTTCATTTGCTTGTTCCCACCAATGTCTGAATCTGTCATCCTACAAATACACACTTGATATTAAAGAGGCCCCTGAATTTAGATTCTTCCAAATATATTTGGTTATGAATACAGTACAAGTAGGAAGTGGCTTTGTTAGATTAACGTATAAATGGCAATAGATAATGGGATCATTCCCACCCAAATAATGTAGTTTACTAGTATTTTACCTGGAATGTGAGAGATCTAGGTTCACAGGAAAAACTTAGCCACAGAGTGTGTTTGACTTTTAGAAAATAACTTTGTTATCCTTACTTTTCCACAAAAGGAGTTTGCTGTATTTCACTAGAATAATTAAACTTTATGCAAGCTTCTACATAAACCACTAAAAACTTTTTCAAAACTGTAATCTTAATATCACTAAAAGCAAGTATCATTCAATGTGGTAGTCTTACTTCTAAGTATTTTAGAATTGTGTAGTACACATCTGATCAAGAAGACAGGAGACACCATGTCACATAAATTGAACTACTTTCAAAAATGAATGATACACTTCTTATGTTTAGCCCTCCCTTTGAAAATAAATCTCTAATTCCATTTCATTGTACCTACTGAACCCAGAAAACACATGACTACAAAGAAATCCTTTGGAAGGGCTTTTTTTCTGAAAATTCCAGTGGATGATTGGTTAAAACAGCTTTAAAGCAATGCCTTTCAGTCCCTAAAGCCAAATGCAATAAAAAAAGGGTTTTTTGAAAAGTTAACTCATGAGCCAGATACTAAGTCACCAATGCATTGCTTTGCTATTTGTTTTTACCGGTTTTTCCTTTTTTAAAACTATCTGCCTGAATGAAGTTCATCTTTGTACAGTTGCCAAATCAGTCCTAGTCTACAAAATGTACATGCCACAATGTATTTGTTACTGTTCAAGTCACCAGAGCACAAAGCTGATTGAACAAAGTGTGTGCAATCACTCACTGAAAAAATGACAGTGCTTGGCACACACAGTACAAAACATTTTTTAAACGAATAAACTAGCAGTGCGAACAGAATTTATAAAAAGTTAGATGTCTTTCAAATCTCTTCCTCTAGTATAAGAAACCCCAATTTCTGCTCTGTAGTAAAGGTCCCTACTTCTTCCCCCCGTTTATCTTTACGTTTTACGGACTACGTACACCACTGTACTCGGTTTGCTGCATGCGGCTCATTTAATCCCCACCCACCTAAGTTGTTAAAAGTACGCTGCACTTTTATCTCTTAAGGCATAATCCATCTCGAGTCTGAAACAGAAAAAAGGCCTACAAAGGCCTTTTTTTCTATCCAAAACCAGCGAAGGAGTGCACCTCAGCCTAGTTTCCCACAAAAGGAGTTATTTTGACTCTTGAATTTGAGGCGCTGGTTAGGTTGCTCTCATCTGTGCCTCAACGTAACTGGGGGGACCAATTAATTGCCTTTATACTTTTGGTCTCGACACTGTCTGATCGAGGCGAAGCGGCTGAAAACCCGAATTATGGACCAGCTCCTCTTGACAGCCCCCGATTTCCAAAGCTGTGTGCTGCCTCGCACGCGCATATATGCACGCCATTCAATGGTGAAGCCTGAACTGAACACCCAACCTATCACCCACAGACAACAGCAGCAACAAAAACCTCACATGCGAAGGCTCTACGTACGAGAATGTGGAAATCGTTTTCGTTTTTTAAGCGGTATTAGGGCTACGAGGGCAGAAGGGGGCGGGAACGGAAAGGCGCAAACAGGCGAAGGCGCTTTTAATTTGCAGTCTTTGGGGTGGCTGGGAGAAAGCAGCCTCAAACCGCCACCCGCTGACACCCTGATTGGGAAAGACGGGCAGGAGGCACCGTCCGCCGCACAGAGCCTACCAGACACCGCCAGCGGCGGGGCTGCCCGGCCGAAGGGGCTCCGCTCCGCCTGCGCTCGCTGCCTCCGCCCGAGAAGCCTCCCTCGCTCGCTCCTGCCGCCGGGAACGAGAGCCGGCCCCGCTGTGCCCAGCCGGCTCAGCCCTTCGTTCCGGCCGGCCGGCCGCCTTACCTGGCTTCGCCTCCGCCCGCCTCGCCCGCTTCCCTCCCTCACACTGAGCCCAGCAGCCTGAGCGCTGCCGACGCAACCAACATGGCTGACGGGGAAAGCCGGTGCCACGTCAAAGGGCAGAGAGCGCGCACAGCGCGGCCGAGGCCTGATGGGGCGGGATCCAAGGCCGCCTCTCGCCCGGCCCTCCTCCGTGGGGGCGTGGCTAGGGAGAGGGGCGGGGACACCGGGGCTTCCCGCCCACGGCCCCGGCCCCGGCCCCGGCGCGGGGGCTGCTCAGGCCTGAGGAGCCACGGTCGAGACGGCGTGTCAGCTCCGCTCTTGTGTCGCTTGGCTGAAGGAGCCATCGTGATCGGGGCGGAACTGGGTGCCGAACGGGTCACCGCTCCTGCCCGTAGGAACGCACGTATTTGCATGTGCTAATTCACACGTGCGCTAAGGTTTCTCTGTGTGCGAGTCTTTAAAGGAGCGTGTTTCCTAAAAAAAAGCACTTGCAAGGGAATCGGGTGCAAGAGAGACCATCAGGGCCTCGGCACCTTTATTTCAGCAAGTGCCACGGAGAACAACACAGCGCGGTGGGCCAAAAAGCTGCCCAGAGTTTCAGGGATCCAGTAAGCCAACCCTAACACCGCTTCTGGTTATGAGGCTGAAATGTGTGTGGCTACTTCTGTTTTCCAGTACTGTCTTCTTAGGCTCTTCATTAGTTTCTCACCTAGGTAAACAGGGCTTCACTCCTCAGCCTTGCAAACCTGAAATCCTTTACTACATCTGGGGTTAGTCGTGCTGAAGTCAGTGGGACCAGCTGCTAAGTAGACTGGTATAAGGTGTGCTGTAAAACTATTTGCTTGCAGGAGAGACTGAAGTTCTCCTTGGGCTTTGCATTCAAACAGGCCAGCCTCAATGTTCTGGGTAGAGGCCAAAAATAGGGCAATCTGACATTTTAAGGACAACATTGCAAATTGCTTAACGATTTAGCAGAGGGCTCTGCACTACCCTTTGATAATTCACTCTTCTATGATTGGCAGCTAATTCTAATGAAACTGTGCTCCAGGGTATGTGTCTCCTACATCTAAGTTTGTGTTTTTCTTTCAGGTCTTCCATTTCGGTCCATTATCCTGAGCTAAATTACTTTGGACAGAATCCTACACAAGTTTAGACAACAGCTGATTGGGGCATGGTGGAGACTGCAAAGTTTTTTCCATCCAACATAGGCTATTTACATTTATTATATTTATGTATCACTGTACTTTTATGTCCTACTCTTTTTCCTCTTGCAAAGAACCCAAGGCAGTTTGCATGATCTTCTTCTCCATTTTTATTTTCACAACTGCCTTGTGAGGTAGGTCAGGCTAAGAGTCAGTGAACAGCCCAAAGTCACCCAGCAAGCTTCTTGAGTCAGTAAGGATTAGAATCTGGATCTCCCAAGCACTGCTCTTAACACTGTGAATTGATTCTGTCTAAGGATGACCAGCTCTTTGAATTGTTGCTGGTTTTTCCCCTCTATATTCAATTTATACTGCAGAGTTAAATCTGTTTAATGTTCAGATTTTAGTTTTATGATATTGAATTTTGTGAGCTGCACAGAGGTCTATACTGAGTGGGCAGCATATGAGTGTTGACAATAAAAAAGTAATTAAATAGATGAAAACTAATTAAATTGTACTACAGTTTGATTTCTTGTTCTGGTGTTCCTATTATCTTTTCTGCTGAAAAGACAATATAGATACTTTTACAGAAAGGAGCACTCCTAGGCAATTATGTAGCAGTAAATTTTGAAGTACAGAAGCTCATATTGTAGCCCCCAAATACCCTCAGGGGGAGTTCAGAACTGCATACCTGTGCACACTCCTCAAAACACAATACCCAACTCAGCAGAATTAGTTTGACAGTCACAGAATAGTGAACAGACAACGATGGTATAGCGGTTCATAGCATGTGGGACTCTGGAAGATGGGGCTCACATTCCTGATCATTTATGAAGTTTTGAAATTCACTGGGTGACCATGGGCAAATCACCTGGCTCCTAGCCTAGGAGTGACCTGCTCTGAAGTATACCACCCTAAACTCAGGAGAGGAAGAGTGGGATACAAAGGTGACAAATATTAAAGCATTTGGTAGTGCATAACCTGCTATTTCACATGCAGGTAAGGCTTTTTGACAGGTTGTTGGACAACTATGTTGCCTCATTACCTGCGAGATGTGGCAGGCTGTAAAAATCCTTTGTTTCTAGTCCTTATAGGGAGCGCCCTGCCTTTTTAAAAAATATATTCATTCATTGATTTATACTGTACCTTACAGTACACTCCTAGACGTATCTACTTGGAAGCAAATCCCATTGCATTCGATGAAGTTGATTCTTAAGAAAGTTGATATAAGATTTCAGCTTTAGCCTACTCACATGCACACCCATGGGATTTCTATGGGGGGCGGGTGGGGGGGGAGAATGGAATCTTTTCGGAACTTCCTCAGAAGTAGATCAACATGTTTGCTAAACAGTCTAATAGAGCCATCCTTCAGAATATGCAAAGAACCAGCCCAGTACCTAAAGAACCAGAAGGGTCCTGTGATCTGCAGTTGAAAGGTAGTGGCCTGATTGCTAGCAGCAGCCCTTGTGGGTGGGGAGATTCATTCTGGTTTCAGATTCTTGGCTGAGCAGATCAGAGGAAGCTGCCCCAGCTGGTCTAGGGACTTGGGATGCAAGCAGCCAAGCTGTCAGGGAGCAGGGGCTCTGAGCAAGCAAATAGGAATTTGGTGGCAGAGTTGAATGGGGGAGATCCCTACCTTTTTTTCTTTTTCTCCCCCCCCCCCACCACCTTAGTTTCCCCCTCCCACTTTGTTTTCTTCGTTGTAACACACTCCTGTTTACTGGTGGGACTGTCTTGTTAATCTTCAGGGAAAACGGGAGAAAGCACTGGTTGTTGCAACAGGCCCAGCAAGGTAAAATCAAAAAGGTAGCAAAAAGTATGAACAGAGACGACTCCCCAGTGATGTTTCCTGCCTGAGGTCAACATGGCCTGCAAATGCAACTAGTGCAAGCTAGTGGCCTTGTTAGAAGAAACTGAGAGCAGAGCAGCAAGTGTCTACCCTCAAGGTAATAAAAGAAGACGAGCTTTTAGACAGAGTGGTGGAACTGGAACAGCTAAGAGTAGTACAGAAGCCAGAAGTGCAACCACAAGCTGAGGCAGAAAAGGAGAATCCTAAGGGAAGGAAAAATGAGGAAACTCCCTGGAAAGGGGTGACAGGTGCAGAAGAGCTACCCATGGAAGCAGTGGAACTCTTGAACTCGGGGGAGCACCTTTATCCATGCCCAATCACAGTCTTCCAAAAAATGTAGGAAGAAAGCTAGAGCACAAAGCATATAGTCTTTGATGTCTATATATTAATGCCTGGAGTATGGGAAACAAGCAGCATGAATCTGAACTCTTAATACAGGAGGGGGATTACAGCCTGCTAGGCTAAGTGAAACTTGGTGGAATGACTCCCATGACTAGACTTCAACAGATGAAGGATATAACCTGTTCAAGAAGAACAAGGAACCGAACAGGAGGTGTAGTCACACTGTATGTTAAAGATACGTATCTTGCACAGAAATACAGGAGGATGAGCTTACTAGTCCCATCAGGAGCATCTGGATTATTCTAAATAGAGCAAGGAATAAAGGAAACACAGTAGTTGGAATCTATTCGCCAGTCAAGAAGACAAGGATGAAACTTTTGAAAAGCAAATTCTCAGTGCTTCAAGGAGGCCTGATGTTGTCATTAGAGCTGGGGTCTCAAACTCAACTTACCTGGGGGCCACTGGAAGTAGAGT